GCAAAATCAAAGCTTGCACAGAAAGATTCAACTTCTGTAATTGTGCAAAATAAAACTAAAATGCAGTCGCCCTCACATCTGAGGGTGGACAACATTAGCTGCGTGACCAGTGGACAGATCACTTTGCTTCTCTCGACCTCGTTTGTAAAAAGGATATTAGCCTTGTCTATCTTACAGGGTCTGTCTTACATGGTGTCTTGAAAAGCAAATAAGATGGTGAAGTGTAAACCTCATCTCGGTGTGGAACAGAGGATGGGAGTGGGGGTGAGGGATCAGAAAGGAAGGGAAAAGGGTCTTTCAGGGACCAATGCTCTCGAGGTAATGAAAATCAAAGAGGTTACACTAAACTCAGAAGCATAAAGAGATCTACCACTGCCACCTCCTGTCTTTGGGACAAAAAGGGTTCTCTTCCCAGCTGACAGAATTTTTTTCTCTCAACTACATATATAACCAAATTTAACTGTAAAATTATGAGTTGAGAATGCTGAAAAAATTCTTTACTTGTAAATGTAATAACCACAAAACTATAATTAGGCTTAAAGATTAGAGATTTATATCTACCACATTTCAATCCAAATCAGGAAAATTTAGAAACAGTAGTACACAGAATGGCTTACTGTAGGTATTCTTTACCATGTTGACATAGAATAATTTGCTTTTGCCTTATCGAAAATTAAATCGTGTTTTCTGCATTGATGGAGGGTATGTTCCTGAAAGCCTCTCATTCTTAGCTACAACAGGCCCTCTTAAGGTCCTTCTTCACGTTGGTTTTGTGACACTCTTGCTCACTTGAAAAGGTTCTAGAGCACTTGCAAACTCAAATCCAATCAACTCTTTAAAAAATCAAAGAAAAATATTGGATCAGAGGTGAGCTCATTAGTGTAGTTAAAATTTGGCAACATTATCTGGCCAGTGTGTGAAAAAAATTCTTGGTTTCTTGCGTTTGGTGTTTAATAAAAAGGCCCCTTACAATGACTGGCTGAAAGTACCTTATCTTCTTTGTGCTACATTCAAGAAAGTTTAGTCGTGGACTTATGAGACAGTGTCTTTCAGCAACAACATTGCAAAGACAGATACATTGCAATTTTGCAATTTAATATGTACTCCTTTAAGAGCTGACCACACTACATAATCTTAAATAAAATGTCTTGAATACAAGTCTTCAAAAAGGTAACAAGACTGTAGAGTGAAGATAACATGTTTTTTTTGCCTTGATTTGCGTTTCCAGGGCTGTTAGCACGTTAAGCACTGTTGTGGCAGTTTTTTCCCTGACGTGCTCGTTAGTTGTAGATATCTGGAATTCGAAGACTCACCAACCGGAAAAATGAGGACGCAGACTCAAAGGATGAGGTAAAACGATAGGATTTTTTGAAAGCGCCAAAATCCAGCTCTCTTGCGAGATGGGTTACCAAAAGCGAGATGCACTGAGTAGAAAAAAAGCTTTTATGTTTTTATGCAAGTTACTAGTCTGGCTGGCAAACATGGTATGATGAGACGTGATTTTCTTATTCGTTAAAAAGTTTGCGCTTTTTGGATTTATTAGCACGTCTCCAGCCCGTGGCCCAGGACGGTGACTCAGGTTCCAGGTAGGGTATGGCCTCGAACCACGCGTTCCTACCCTAGACTGACCTGTTTTAACTTTTTAATACCTACACATCATCACCTACGACTTTTATAACACTGCTAACAAATCCATAGTTAAAGATACCGATATTTCACACAAAAGCGTCCAGCTCCTCCGAGGACCCTTTGGTTGGCCCTAAAAAGGGCCTTTGGGATTGCCACACATTAAGCCTGCAGCGGCGGCTTAGCCTCCGAAACCGTAGAGGGTGCGTCCCTGACGCTTGAGGGCGTACACCACGTCCATGGCGGTGACCGTCTTGCGCTTGGCGTGCTCCGTGTAGGTGACCGCGTCCCGGATCACGTTCTCCAGGAACACCTTCAGCACCCCCCGGGTCTCCTCGTAAATCAGGCCGGAGATGCGCTTGACCCCTCCCCGCCGTGCCAGGCGCCGGATGGCCGGCTTGGTGATGCCCTGGATGTTGTCTCGCAGGACTTTGCGGTGGCGCTTGGCGCCGCCTTTACCCAAGCCTTTGCCACCTTTGCCTCTCCCAGACATGACTGCTGCGCCTAAACACTCACGTGGTGTCACCTGCGGCCACTGGGCCCTGATATACGAGCGCGCCGGACCGGATTGAACACCGCTACTTCGCACACGCAAGCGGCCTCGCCCTCCTCGCCCGTGGCCCCCCTCCTCCCTCCCCCTCGCCGACGCCCCCTAGCGGTCGCCCTGCGACACAGGCCAGGCCCGCCGAACCAGCGGCTGTTTCCCTCTCGGTCTCCCCATCCGTGAGCTCGCCGGCGGCCTTACACGTAGGCAGAGAGGAAAGGCCTTTCCGCCGGGGGAAGCCCTGAGCAAGAGCAGAGGGAGTCCAGAGACGCGAATGGCACGAGCGCCCCGGCGCCGGGTCTGATCCCGGCAGGACCCCCCGCTCCCCAAACGTGGTTACTGAAAGGGCAGCGAAGCACATCTGGTCACTAGACTGCCTGCGGGACGGGCAGATCTCCAGAGCAGTTCCGGAAGGGGCGGCGGAGCACATCGGGTCGCTCGACTGCCTGCGGGACGGGCAGATCTCCAGAGCAGGGGCACTTGGGATCGAGAGGGAGGAGGAGGTCGCCATAATGCCCTAGTTAGTTTCTATTTTGGTGTCGTGCGGCCTGGCATTTTCACCTCACCCAGGAGAGATCAGATTCTAGGTAAACAGGTCTCACGGTACCGCTGAACCTCAGGGACGTCAGTCAGTCCAACGCACTGTCATTCGAAGCTCTGCTGAGAGCAAGATAGACCAAGGGGTCTCCTGTAATTGTTTCTAGACCCCCTGTAATCGACCCTCGTTCTCAGCCAGGATTCATTTCACACATTGTGTCCCAACTGATGGCTCCACATGGAGCTCCAAAATTTAATGAATTGGGTGGGTTTTGCAAGAAGACATCCCCATATTTAGAGTCATTACCGGAAAAAGCATGTTCATTACCAAGGCCTTCTGTAGGCGAATCCACAAGAACGTAGTTTCTGCATCAAAAAAAAATTTTTTTTTTTGAGAAATATTTATCAGTTTAAACTTACATGCCTTTTTTCATCTCTCCTTTGGCTCTATCTTCTATATGCTAATGAATCCCAAATCTATATATTTATCCAGACTTCTAGGCTCCAGACATGTAGATCTATTCTCCTGGTGGTCCTTTAGCCATTTTAAACCGAAAATCTAAAATCTCCAAAAATCAAAATATTTAAACGAAATCTCTAAAATGTAACTTTTATGGGAGCTGAGAAGATTCATTCTCTTCTCCACCTGCACCCCTTCCCTGTCCATGGAATGGTGGCACCATGCATCACATGTCAAACAACACCCTGGAATTCACAATAGATGTTGAAGGGTAGAATATGCTGCCCCAAAATATGACTGTGGCAGTTTCGGACATCTCAATTCAAACTATGCTGCTTTGGTATATTGATTATTTTGAGCCATATGCACTTGAAAAACAGCAAGTGCAGGGATGGGCTTTCTTTGAACTCCCCTCATATGCCTAGAAAGAGCCACCAAAAAGGAACTCAATTATGTGGGCCTAAGGATTCAACTGACGAAAGACTAATTGAAAGGAACAAAGCATACAAATTTTAATATTTTTATGTGAACACAGGAGTCTTCAGAAGAAAAATGAAGACCTGAAAAGCCTGTTGGGTCCAAAAGTTTATATATACCTTTTAAAACACCAATACATTCTGGGGCTTGGGCTAGGGACAGTAAATTATGGGACAATGACTAGGATATATTTGAGGAAACGCATGGAAGGTAGGAGTTATTTTAATAGGTTGGTTTCTGCAGATCAATTTTGGCATCGACTCCCTGTTTCTGAAAAGAATGTTCGCTTCCTGGTACTGAGAGGGAACTTTTCGAATGGGAATTTTATGAGCTGCTTTTCAGGAAAAAGGAGCAGGTCAGAGAGCCCTTCTTGCACTTGCCATTTCTCAAATGCCTTCAGCTCAAAATCAATATACTAAAGTGGCATATTTGGGGGTGGCATTCTGCACCCCATCAAATTCTTAACTGCTATAGGGAGGCAAAATTTTTCCTCTATCTTCTTAAGATTTTTGGCTGGGCCTGAGTATTAAATTGACATAAGACAGATTCACAGGAGAAAGAATATGCATTTATTTAGTGTAAGGAGCAGTTATCAAGTTGGGTGTATACACTGCATTAGACACGAGCAGTAAATCAGGAAAATGTAACAAGACAGAAGGGCTCAGGTTAGGAAGGGCATTAATGGTAGAAAAGTGACCAGGAAGATAGAGTTAGTTTAACAATGTTTGTTTGTATGGATTACTCTCAGCTTTGACCTTGGTGATGGCAATGTTATTTTCCTCCTTATAAAGGTGGGCATCTTTTACGTGGAGGTTTCATCTCCTGCTTTTAGGAAGAAAAGGGGAGGTCGGACAGTCCTCTTGCACCTGCAATTTTCCAAGTGCCTTTAGCTCAAACTAATCCTTATGCCAAAATGGCATGTTTTAGGTGCGGTTTACCTGACATTGATGGGGGTCAGGGCACGCTACCCCAAAATATGTCACCTTAGCATATAAAACATTTTAAGCTTATTTTCTCAGTGACAGAAGCAGGTAGGCCACTTTGACTTTCCCTGGGACCATCTCCCCTGAAACAAGTCATTAAACCATCTTATAAGAGATGTCCTTCCTATGCCCAGAGGAAAGGAGAATTATCTTCACAGGAAAAGGGACACACAGAAGAATCCTAACACACAGGCCTTGCTGTTTCCCCCAGGTTACTATACTCACCTCAGGCTCCTTAACCTGTCCCATTTCTACGTAACTGCCCACTCTTCATTAAACCTAGCATAAAAATGCTCAGGTCTGTTTCTTTGGATCTTCATTTCATTATGAAGGTTGCTGTGTCATGTAAAACTTACATTAAATAAATTTGTGTATTTTTCTCCTGTTAGTCCTTGTCAGTTTAATTTTCGGATCCAGCCAGGGACCCTAACAGGGTCGAGAAAATCTTTCTCTCCTATACTACCCTTCACTATACAGTACAGGCAGCAGTGTTAAGGATGGGCAGAAAACCTGGACTTTTTATCCAATGAGCAAGATTTTGAGGGAATGAGTTTAATCTCAGAATGGGGTAAGGAAAGGATTTCTAAATCCTATGGTTTCTCAGTCTGGTCCAGGGCTACAAGCCACTCAAGATGAAAGGGATTTAGGCATATGGCCTGACCAACCCACAAACCAAAGATCAAGTCTTATATTGGTGGTACCTGAAATCCTGGGGATACTTGAAGTTAAAGATTAAACACAAACTATCTTCCTGGGACATATAATTTTAATTTGGTCCATTATTTTTGTATTAAAAACAAACACATGCACATATAAAACATTACAACCCTAATAATTCACTTCTTAATATTTTCCTCTGCTGGCTCATTTCCTATGGTTAATTTTAAGCTTCTAGTGCCTTTTTTTTTCCCCCCTCACAGAACCAAATAATGAAATTGCAGTGTTCATTTTTTGAAACTGCAGATTCTCATTATTAGTGGTGAAAGAAATTTCAGAAATATTAGGAGAAAAATATCCCCTCTTCCCCACAGCTGCAGCAAAGCAGGGGTTCTTCTGCATTATAAACTTACTTCTGATACAATGATGTATTGAGAAACTGAAATATCACCCCTCTATCATCCAATGTGGAGACTGGGTGAAACCGAAGTAATAGGAATCTGAATTCTGTTATTAAAAGTGACTTTGAAGGCAACCATACATTACAAACTGTTATAGTCTGAGAAGTGCTACCTATAACTTAAACGTTTACTATTCTGATTGATTATCGTATCTGACTTATAATTAATATTTAAATTGACATCTCTTTTCTGAGAAGTAGAAATTCTTATACAATTTTTTTATTAAGCCAGAGGAAGACTCTTGAAATGTTCTGATTCTCTATGTTACAAAGGTAACATAGATTTTGTGATTGTTGGATTCTATATGAATATGTAGCTTGAGAATCTTTTTTCTTATTTAAATGAACACTTCCATACATCATGGCTATGGGTACATACATTAAAAAAAAAAAAGGTAAAAACCCAAAAACATTGCAAAAAATGTAACACTTGGGTGGGCTGCTTTGGGCTGTCATCTAGATCCCATAGGTAGTTTCTTCTTCTGATTGGAATACTTCGGTGGATAAGTTTGAGAAACACTGACTGATTTGATTTTGTTTTAAAATGTACCCCAAATCTGATGAAACTGGAAATCCATTATAATTTCATCCTTTTGCTTTAGCATATTATGTAAGCCTTGTTACTTATCTAGGACAAGCCATAATTTCTTTGCAACTCAGTTTCTTTATCTGTAAAATGAGGAAAATAACATCTACTTCACAGCTGGGATTAAATGAGATAGTGTATACAGAAGAATTTTTAAATACTGAGTAGTGCTCTTTAAATGTAAGGCATTATTACAAAACCACTATAGGAAGGGGGAACAGCTGTTCACATCAGGCACAGTTTTACATGCCGTTTTAGATCTTTTCCCTAGAGAGATTTCTGCTGCCCAAGGGAACTCTCGAAGATATGAAGATAAGAAACTTCTACATTGTGTTTAGTGTTCCAGAAATCCCCTCAAAATTGCTTATTTTATTTTAACTTCAACAAGAAGATAATTCAAATTGACACCCTCAAAGTAAGTTTTAAGCTTTTGGGGCCTGCTTTTGTTCTCAGGTTTGAGTTTTTATAAAGTTTGCATGCAATGCTTTCAATCAAATAAGCATACATTTAAAAGTTTTATATGAACTATTACAACTTTAAGCATTGATAACCTTACATAAATGTTTTATGACATGCAACTTTCCAAGCAATACTTCAAAGCATGTGAAATAACTAAAAGGCAGAGGTCCAATTTCCTTATAAAGATATGAAACGTTTAAGCATTAGAAAACACCTATTGAAGGACATACGCTAGCACTCAGTAATCGATGAATAATTTATTTGCTTTTAATCTATTCACTATTTGTAAAGGAGAAATTAGTATTTCCGGTCTTACCTTCCTTGCCTTAGAAGCCTTTCGTCTAGGCTCTAATTGGCCATCAATAAGTTGAGAAGGAGGGTACCCTATTTCAGGGAGAAAAGCCTACAGAAAGGAAGAAGGCTCTAACTCTCCACGTAGGGAGAGGTCAGCACACCACTTAGTCGAATCTCGAAGTCAGATACACGTAACTTCAACTTTTGGTTTCTTCAACTATAAGTGTTTTGCTGAACCTCAGTCATAAGGCACTTAGCGCGGAGTCAGACGCTAAATAAATCTGAGCTATGTGAAAGGAGTTAAGTAACTTGTAACTGGAAATGATAGGCTGAAACCTAACTCATGTTTGTAATTCTATGTAACCTGTTAAAATATAAATCTCAAGCATACAAAAATACTTTGTAAATTGCCTTCAAAAGTTACACCAATAATTTAAAGGAAAGGTCATTAAAAAACCGCCTGTGATCTATAAGATTACAGAAAAACATGGGAAGGGGGGGTAATAAGGAAGAAGATTAGCATAAGAATCCTGTCCCCAATAAATAGGATTGAATTCTAGCCAATAAGATAACAATTCTAGAAAGTCCTAGTTTTTCTGGCCCAATCAAGACAAAGCTATGTCTATAAATAAGGCTGCCTAGGGTTCTCGAAATGAAAGATCAACATCATGGCTCGTACTAAGCAGACTGCACGCAAGTCGACCGGTGGCAAGGCCCCGCGCAAGCAGCTGGCCACCAAGGCGGCCCGCAAGAGCGCGCCTGCCACGGGCGGCGTCAAGAAGCCGCACCGCTACCGGCCGGGCACCGTGGCGCTGCGCGAGATCCGCCGCTACCAGAAGTCCACGGAGCTGCTGATCCGCAAGCTGCCCTTCCAGCGCCTGGTGCGCGAGATCGCGCAGGACTTCAAGACCGATCTGCGCTTCCAGAGCTCGGCCGTCATGGCGCTGCAGGAGGCCAGCGAGGCCTACCTGGTGGGGCTGTTCGAGGACACTAACCTGTGCGCCATCCACGCCAAGCGCGTCACCATCATGCCCAAAGACATCCAGCTGGCGCGCCGCATCCGCGGGGAGCGGGCCTAAAGCATGCCATCTTAAGCAGACGACCTTAAAGGCTCTTTTCAGAGCCACCCACGTTTTCATGAAGAGCAGCTGTACTACTTTGTTTTTCGGTTAACGTTAATTCTATTACACTGGTGTTAGTAAGGGGGTGGAGGAGAGTTAGCACCTGGTGCCGAGGCGGTTATGGAATCCCAATGATCGAGGCTAGAGGGGAAAGCGGAGGCCAAATTACGTACGTAGTTTTGGGTCAACTCTGCTTTCACGTCCTGGTTTAAATTTTGATTTAAAAGTACAGGGCGCCAACCTTGTTTCTGTGCCGAAAAATCTGCATGAGGATGAAATCCGCCCTTATCAGTCGTTTGTAACGTTCCGAGGTGATAGTGGAAAACGTAAGCACAAATCTGAATAACGAAATTGACACTTTTTGAAGGTCGATAATAACCCGTTTTCGACTCGATTTTAGTTACTGCAACTAAACCGGATGTTGGATAAAATTCTCGATCTCCAAGTAGTTCGCCGGGATTCTAACTGATAAAATGAATGGGGATAAACAGGCATTGTGCTGAGTCATGAGATGAGTAAGATTCCAAGGACGGGGCGGGGATGAAGGCGAGTTCCTTTTTAAATATTAAGCCTTTTCCGGGCTTGTGCTTAAAAATTATACAAATCCAATTTTTACTTTAGCATAATACAGGCAGCGCAAACAAATTGGAACTTCAGGGAAATAAGTACCTGGAGTCTAAAAATGTGAGCTGAGGAATGTTTCGAAACAAAACTTTCACAAAGTACACAGCAAAACGATGCAAAAATAGAAGTTAACTTATCTTTGGCTGGCGCTTCAGTCTCTTCTGTACACAAATCTACAATTCGAAGTGAAAACAACAGAAGATCCCTAAACCGTTGAAACTATCACTTCACATAATTTACTGGTTAGTGTGAAATGGAACATTTTGATTGGCTAACAAGATTTCTGTTCTAATGACCACTAAGGGAGCCCAAGCAGAATCTTATTTACATGGGCTCCACCTCTATGACGACACTGCTAGATGTTAACCAATAAAAATTTAGTACTGTGCCAGTCCTCATTTACATACAGTCTCTATAAATAGCGTGGAATCAACTGCGTTGCTTATAGTTGCGGTCGTTTTTTGCAGCGTTTTGCCGTTTCTTTGTGTGAAAATGCCAGATCCAGCAAAATCTGCTCCGGCTCCCAAGAAGGGCTCCAAGAAAGCTGTTACGAAAGTGCAGAAGAAGGATGGGAAGAAGCGTAAACGCAGCCGGAAGGAGAGTTATTCCGTTTACGTGTACAAAGTCCTGAAGCAGGTTCATCCTGACACCGGTATCTCGTCCAAGGCTATGGGCATCATGAATTCTTTCGTCAACGACATCTTCGAGCGCATCGCCGGCGAGGCCTCCCGACTGGCGCATTACAACAAGCGTTCGACCATCACGTCCCGGGAGATCCAGACGGCCGTGCGCCTGCTGCTGCCGGGCGAGCTGGCCAAGCACGCCGTGTCCGAGGGCACCAAGGCCGTCACCAAGTACACCAGCTCCAAGTAAGGGCACGCAAGGAACGCGACAAAACAGCTATTTTACCCCAAAGGCTCTTTTCAGAGCCACTTCAGTTATCGAAGAAGGCGGCTGTAAGCACCTGGGAGGTTGGTAAGTTTTTGTTTAGGTGGGATGATCCCATTGTCACAAATACATTTGGACCTATGACTAGGTTGGAATTGAGAAAGGTTCCTCCGGCTGTTAATTCGAAACCTGTAGCTCATTGGTGCCACCTGGTGGTACCGCTCTAGCTGGTAGAAGTGCTTAGTTCTCTACTACCTAATTCTAAGGGGTCCTTAATGGAGGCCAGGTACACAACCGAGGATAAAGGTTTGACACCCCTTATGTAACTAGTGTGTGAGAAGGGCTATCTGTCCACTACCCTGCCCCTAAGTGTCTTCGGACCCCTTCAGTAAGCAAGCTGCAGTACACTTCCTAGCGTGTGGATAGAAATATCTCAGTTCCCCACTCCACTAATGTTTTAATCTACATGTTTTTAATGAACTCATAACTCAAACTATTCAATAAAGTCATATGCTTCAGTTTGTAGGCCTACCTAGAAGTCCAGACCCAGCCATCTTCCCCTGCTTTTCCTTTCCGGAAACAAACATGTTTTGTCTCCACTCCATGGGATATTCGGCAATATCCAGACATTCTTGTCATCACTTGGGGAGAGGTGCTACTGTCATCTAGTGGGTAGAGGCTAGGGATGCTGCTAAATACCCTATAATACACAGACAGCCTCCATAACTAAATCACCTGGTCTATAACGTCGCCCCTTGTGCAGAGAGACTCAGAGCCCAAAGGCTTCAGGGTTTGATCCTCACTTCTGTCAAAACTTCCCTCAGTCCTGCTCAGCCAATGTTGTTGCTCTTGGTGAAAGCTGAGCAATACATAGACTTTAACTGTTTACTCCACAGGAAAATGATCTCCAGGGCAAGGACCTTGTCTTGGTTCCGCAACTAACTTTACTGGTTATAAGAACCACGTTGGTGCTTGTGAAACACATTTCCAGTTGCATCGCTTGAAGTTTTCTGATGAGGTGGTGACTGGGGAAGTGGTTTTTAGTGGTCTCAGGTGGTTTACTTTTCTTTTTTTTTTAAATAGGTTTTAGGAGCATGATAAAAGGCCAGTTAACATGTAGGATGAATTTTTAAGGACCTCTTGCATAACTCGAGCCTAACCCTGACAAAGGCTGGTGGATGTTTTTTCCAAAGGAAATATTCCCCTTGAGACAAAAGGAAAAATCTTAGTTTCCAATTTGAGAGTCAAGCTTCAAAAATAAACCATTCTTGATAAATTTGGGAGAATTTACATGACAACTATGTGCTTAAAATAAATTTTATATATAATGTATAATATAAGAGTTCAAATTTACATCCACTTAAAAGTTGCATAGAATGGGCTGTAATGATTTATTTCACTAACAAATTAGGATTCTTAGTGAGTCATCTTTTCCTGGCAACTATTAGACAAGAGGCCAGGGGAAGATGACGCAACTGAGAATCTAAATTTTCTAGTGAAAAAAAATTATTACACAGCACATTTTATGGTAAGAAAATTTACTCAGTAAGTGAGGCAGCCAGGGTGGTCTGTCTGATACCCAGTCAAGCTATCAGAGAATGTGGCTGGTCTCTATGCCTAGGATCCTGAAGTCCAGGGGCTCTCTTCTCCCTGAGGACTAGGAATTATGTTTCTCAGTTTTTTGAAGTTGTTACATTGTCAATTGGCTCACCTAAGCAAAAGCTATTGTTAACTATCCATGAGGATTAAACCCCAACTCTTGAAACTAAAAGGCTTCTACCATCTGGCCGAAATTTACCTTCTTCAGTGACTCATTTTCCCCGTCTTCCAGGTGAGCTGAAATGTTCTACTGTCCCATAATACATCTTGAATTTCTCTTCCTTTGTGCTTTTGTCCTATCGTTCTCTTAAGTGGAAGTACTCTCAGTTGTTCTCTGGGCTATTCAAACCCTAACAACCTCTGAGTTCTTTAAACTCTTGCTCAGATCTCACTCTGTAAAACCGTCCCATCCAAATCTAGGTCACAGGGGGGAGTCTTTCTCCTTTTAACTCAAGGCTTTGTTCCTTGCACAATGAATTCAAAATTAACTGTGTGGCTTTGTGAACTGTGCAGGCTTGTTCCTTAATTTTTTCATTGTTTTTACATTTTCTTGTGTTTGTCCTCTACTAGAGGGCAGTCCCCTCACCCCCTTTTTAAACTTCTTGGGATCTTTCACAAAGGCTATCCCAGTGCCTATTATAAAATGGCTTTTCAATGAAAGTGTGTTGACTGATTGCCCAGATCGTAAAACACAAGCAAATTGATCTGAGGATGGTAGGTTTAAGTATTTCAATAAGCTTTTTTTCTGCAGTTTTTCCTAATTCTTTGCTTCTTTAACCAGGAATGCTCTTTTAATTGCCCTTAATAGTTATCAACCCAGTTAAGACTTCTGTTAGAGATTTAAAATTCCTGAGAAGGGCAGATAAAGTACTGTACTGGACGGCTTCCCTTCAGCCCATGCATCTTTGTGGTCAAAAGGATAAGATCAGAGTGGAGCTTTTTCAGCTTTTTTGAGGTGCTGCTTTTCCACTGTTGTAAACAAGGATGTGGAGGGAGGTGAGTTCCAGCAGACCAAAAAAAAAAGTGTAGTATTAAGAAATTTTAAATATCAGATCCAGAAAACTTTAAATATCAGAAGCATTGCAAAAGTAGAAGTGGGATTGGCCTGCATCAAGTCAAATGTCATCCAGATTGGTTAAGTCATCTTTTCAGGGATTGGCGAATGGATCGTAATACGTATAGAAACCTAAAAGATGACAATTCAATCTTCTGCAATGACTTTGAGACAAACATCTCACTTTTAAAATGGGTGCATTTCCCAAAAGTGACCTTAAAACCAAGCAGTCTTGAAGACAGATCACCTGGTTTGTAGCCTTAGCTCCACTTTGTCAGTAGTATGACTAAGGCAAGTTTTTGAATCTTCTATTTCAGTTTCCTCATCTTTAAATTGGAGATAATAGTAATGCTTACTTCATAATGCTTTTGTGAAGGGTAAATGAGTAAATACAGATTAAAAAATGCTTAGATTAATGTTTGACACTTAATAAACACTTCAAATTTTAGTTGATATTGATAGTAGAGAAGACCTGTTGAGTGTTATGCAAGTTTTTTCATCTCTAATGTACCACAGAAAATATTGACCAATTCACGATAGTATACTAAACACATGTTGTGTTCTTCCCATTGAGAGAAGAGAGGAGGCGTCTGAAAAAATGCAAAGGAACGGGCCTGCAGAAATAACCGACTCAGCTGGTTAAAACTACTCTCTCCCCGCATTCTTCGGCTAACATGTTTTCCCATAGTTACCTCCCCCACCTCAAGGATTCTCCAGCTCACATGTTGATTCATAGCTTGCTATCCAACTAATGTTCTTTCTGTGTAGCTGTGTAGAAATAACAAGACTATAAAACGGCTTGTTATGTTACAATTAGAGCTCAGCCTTTGGATAGGAATCCGCTGAGCAGGTCCCATGTCTCTGTTCAAGAATCCTATAATGGTGCTGATAACGCCAAGGTCACTGGTTCTACAAAACAAATGACTGGTAAGACCAGTGGTCTAGAAATTCCTCCCCACTTGCAGCCCCCCACCTGAAGCTCCCCCTCCCATCCTGAGTCATGCAGCACATGTGAAACCTCAGACAAAGGAATCATGTGCCCCTTGCATGGACACTGCAAGGGTATAATCTATAAGAAATCTAACCAAGGCACGTGCCCCTTGCATGGACACTGCAAGGGTATATAATCTATAAGAAATCTAACCAAGGAGAGATCGTGCTTTGGGTCTGTTGAATGCCCCAAGCTCTCCGCCGGCATTAAATTCTCCTTCCTCTAACAAAGTTGTCTGAGTGTGTAATTTCCATTGTCGGGTGTCGCTTCTTACAACATCGTCTTCCACCCCAAATTCTTAGAAATGACAGGAAATTGACAAAAAAGATGGTAGATAAAGTAAGAGTGAAGAGTGCAAGAAAAATTAACTAGAGATCTTGGGAATTTAAAATTTGGTTGTTGACACAAGAATTCAGGACTAAATCCAGAATAGAATAGGTATAGCTGGGAGAAAATATAGGAACTGAAAGGTGAAGCCCAGAAATCCCATCCACAATGCCATGTAAAAGGATACAAAAATAAAAAATGAGAAAAAATGTTAAGTGACATAGATGATAGATTCAGATGTTATAAATGCTTATCTCCTCTCTTCAAGGCTTTTTTTCTGCCCTTCCAGAAGAAGTGAGCCTCAAAGTCACAGCCAGACTCCAGATGATTGCTGTTCACTGGGGATCATGTCATTGCTTCCTCGAAATTAAATTACCTTCTCAAGAGAGCACTACACTGGGGAAATTTATTTCTCCAGAATGTGTGAACCAATTGTTTCTAGTGTTTCTTAGAGATTTTCTATCTCCATTAACTCACATAACATGTTTGAGAATCTCACCCTTTATTTAACACATACTCCCTCTCCACAATTTCTTTTCTACCCTAAGTCTAAGGGTTAAGGAGTTAATAATATGTGTTTAGTATGATATAGAGATGAAAGGGAAGGCAGGAAGATGAGCTTCTTACCCTTTGGGGGTTTTTACCCCATATTTAGAAACAAACCAAGAAATGAGGGATAAAGGAAGGACAGCAAACGATTGTATTGGTTCTCATCTTACTGCCACTGCGCATTAACAAGCAAGTACTTACAGGAGCCCAGATTTTCAACTTCCTAGCATTTTTTGACATGCTGCTTTCCACTGCCAAGCTTAATATGCAGCTCTCTTAGGGTCTTTCAGTTTTTATACTATTATAGATACGATATTGATAATAATCACTTCTTAAGATTCTAACAATACCATTTACAATAACACAAAAATGAAAGACCTAGAAATCACCAAAAAGAACAAAGCTTCTAGAGGGCACTGTTATGAGATATTAATAATGACATAGTCATGGATTAGAAAAGTCAATATTGTAATGATGTCAGTATTCCCCCACCCCAAAGATCTACAGACTTAATGCAATCGCACTCCAAATCC